TTAGTTACACAAATTCAGATATGGGATGAAATCGGATAGGGATGAAATCGTTTAGGGATGAATGAGTTTAAGAGTTTTTAAGAGTTTTAGCCAAATGTATTATAAGATAGCATAGATAAGTAAAATATATTAGTGGTTTGTTTTAATTATTGCATTGAGTAATTTTTAGCGTGTCATTATACATTTTTGAACTAATTTATCATCTAATCTTTATCGAATGTGATTAGTTTATCAGTTAACAACTATTTTTCTATCAATAGTTAATGTATCAACTAATTTTCTAAACATGGACCAAATATATATATTTTTAAAATTTTAAGAATAAAGTTTTTGAAAATTAAATATAGGATTAATCAACTAAATAAACAACAAAATAAGGAAAACATTTATTAAGATTATCCAGGAATTTTGTACTTCCAATACATTAAAAATGGAGTAAAATGAGGTGTAAAAAACACCAGTGTTTGTCCTTCCTCTCCAACACAACCCTACAAATCTCTCTTTATACTAAAGACTAAATAAAAGACACCAAAACAAGGCTGCAACTTTCTCTCACAATTGCTGACCAGTTTCTTTGTTATTCTTTTTTCCTTTTCTTTAATTGGGAGGCCACCAAATCTCATCATCATCATTCTTTCTCTTTCTCTTTCTCTTTCGCTTAATGGTTTAGGTTAGTTTTTGGCACTCTTCTTCAACCCAATCTTCTGCTTGTTAGGTTGCACCATTGGAGCAATGGGCCCTCTTCTCCACTCAAGACTTTAATGGTGAGAAAACAGTAAAAAGGGGGTCTCTTTCTTCATTTGCTTTTCTTCCTCATATCTTGCTGTCTTGCATTTGAGGGTTTTAGGTCAACAATAAAACTCTTTGTTTTATGATTTGTGGGTTTTTGATCTACACGGTTTTTGCGAAATGGGATTTTGATTTCCTAGGGTTTTGCTCTTTGTGTCTTTCTTTATAATTTATGGGGTTTTGATTTCTTGGGTTTGTATTGACCATTTGGAGATCTGAGCTTGAGTTTATGCTTTTTGATCAGCTTTGTTGACTATATAAAGTTTGTGCCTTTTGAGTGTTCTGTTCTTTATCTTCAATTTCTTCAACTGGGTATCAAATTCAAATTGTGGGTGTTTTGCTTCTTGAATTATAATCTTGACTTTGAAACTGGTGAGTTGGGTTTTAGAGGAAGAAACCCTAATCCCTCTACGGGGTCCAATCTATGTTTCAAAGGCAAAGATTGAGGTATGTTTTCTTGAAATCCATTTGATATTTAAATTCTGACACTAAAAATGAATCTTGAATCTGGGATCGTTTGGGAATGCTTTTCTAATTACCCTAATCTTTCTGGCAGGATCAAGAACTTGCTTTGAAGCTGCCATTGGAGATGATGAATTATGAAATCCGCATGTAGTTAGCTGATCTCAAGAATGGAAAGAGGGATTCAGCCTCCTTTGGTAAATTCCTGAGCTTTTATAGTCTTTATAACATAATTAAAGATAGATTTATCAATGTAATATGCCAATTGTCATGGGGTTATTGTTTCGATTAGCACAATGAGGCCTCGGCATTGTTAACCTGGTCTGAAATGCTCGAGAATTGGATGGAGAAACGAAAACACGTACTGTGAACGGTTGGTAGGAGAAGTTTATACGAGAGACTTGTTTCCATTTCCCTGAAAGTTATTTCAGTGTTTTACAAATGAGGAAGACTCCACCAACTTATAGGGGTCTGCACCTCTAAGCACATCCCGTAACTAGAGTGTTATAGAACATAGGGGCCTTTTAGGTTCATTAAGCAAATACTTGATGTTGTGGCTCATCTTTCTTGAATTGTATTGTTGTATCATGTAAGTAACACACATATTTGATCGTAAGAAGCTAAGACCGCACTCATTTACTTCTGTTTTGGGTGATCTTCTTCTTGATAACTCAATTAGTCATGTGAATGATTAGGGGTTATGATATGATTGATCTTGGTCGTAGTTTGCATCATTCGATGGGTTTAATCATGTTGATAGTTAGGGATCTCAATGGGGCAGGTTTAGGAACACTAATCCATGGTTAACCCCAAATCTGGGTAAAATTTTAACTAAATGAGCTTGAAACCTGAATCATTCTTGGTGTTCTGATAATTCGATTCTTGGGTACAAGGAGTTAAGGAATGCCTGTTTAAATATTCTTTCGAATATGTACTTCTCGTCAGTATTTTAATCATATTCTTGCAAGTTCTTGTTAGCATCAGCTTCTGCCATGGCTGGTTTGAAGCTTGGAATGATGCCATCATCTTTTTTGCAGGTGGATACAACAGCTTGCTTGTGTAGAGTAGACGCCGGTCTGAAAACCGTCGCTGGAGCAAAAAGATTCGTTCCTGGTGCAAAGCTGTGTCTGCAACCCGACATCAAACCATCGATCCACCCCACCAGACAAAAACCACCGCGTGACCGAACCCGTAGCCAATCCCCTCTTCTGCCCGGACTGCCCGATGATCTCGCCATTGCCTGTTTGATACGTGTCCCAAGAATCGAGCACCGCAAGCTCCGGTTAGTTTGCAAAAGATGGTATCGTCTTCTGGCAGGGAATTTTTTCTATTCTCTTCGCAAGAGCCTAGAAATCGCTGAAGAATGGGTGTACGTTATGAAAAGAGACAAAGATCGAAAGATGACGTGGCATGGGTTCGACCCAATGAACCAGCTCTGGCAGCCGCTACCACCTGTGCCCAAAGAATACTCGGAAGCCCTGGGGTTCGGGTGTGCGGTTCTGAGCGGCTGCCATTTGTATTTGTTTGGTGGTAAAGATCCCGTCAAGGGTTCGATGAGACGAGTGGTTTACTATAGCGCACGGACTAATAAATGGCACCGGGCCCCCGATATGCTTAGGAGACGACATTTCTTCGGATCTTGTGTCATAAACAACTGTTTGTATGTAGCCGGTGGCGAAAACGAGGGGGTCCAACGGTCTCTAAGATCAGCAGAGGTTTACGATCCAAGCAAGAACCGATGGTGTTTCGTTTCGGATATGAGCACAGCAATGGTGCCGTTTATCGGGGTGGTTTATGGCGGAAAGTGGTTCTTAAAGGGGCTTGGGTCACACCGGCAGGTGGTAAGCGAAATGTACCAACCGGAAACAGACATGTGGACCCCGGTTCACGACGGGATGGTTTCCGGTTGGAGGAATCCAAGCACGTGCTTAAACGGGAAACTTTACGCTTTGGAGTGCAAAGACGGGTGTAAAGTAAGGGTTTACGATGAAGAAACGGATTCTTGGAGCAAACATATCGATAGCAAAATGCATATGGGGAACTCAAAGGCTTTAGAGGCGGCGGCATTGGTGCCGCTTAACGGGAAACTCTGTATCATACGGAACAACATGAGTATTTCGTTGGTAAACGTGGCGAAAGACGGTGGTGAAGGAATGGTGGCAGCGGAGCATTTGTGGGAAACGTTGGCCGGAAAAGGACAGTTGAAGACATTGGTGACGAATCTATGGTGGAGCCTGGCGGGTCGGAACCGCCTGAAAAGCCATATTGTTCACTGTCAAGTTCTTCAAGCATGAAAAATGGCGGATGATGTTATATACACACTTGAATGTTTTAGTTGTTGGAATCATCGAATCGAATCTTGACCAAAATCATTTCTACTTAAATGTTATCATAGCTTAGCCTTACGTACAAAAAATATCAGGTTGGATATCCAGGTTAATCAAATATATATATATATATCATCACATAACCTGTTACGACTCAAAATGTGTAACTGGTATAATCGAATCAGTTATACATTTTGACCGGTATAATCGAGGTTTTTCAGTTAAAAAATACTGTAACTGATGGGAACTGACCGGTTATACCAGTCAAAATGTTACTGGTTAAACCAGTTTTATTGGATCCTTGGGATGGATTGATCCACACCAACACATAGAGATGGAGATTCTTGCTTTGATGGGTAAAGGAATTGGGACGGAGATCTATTTTCATATTTGAAGCGGTGTCGGGATGTTATTATTCGTCTTTAATCTTACCCGGGTTTATTTTTACTATTATATTCAATAGTGTATGTCTATAAATAAATAAATATATATATATATATATATATATATATGTGTATATATTTTGTTATTTGATTTTCAATATTGATAATTAATGTAGTTAGAGTTGTTCATGGACGGTACAACCTTCTAGACCTGACCCGTTAGAAAAGTGAGTTTTAACAATCATTTTAGAAAATATGGACGGGCTTGAACAGGGCCGTTCAAATTAATGGACGGACTCCGACAATAAAAAAAGAAATTTGGACAGACCCCCCCCCACCCCAACCCAACCCAACCCAACCCAACCCAACCCGGTGTATAATTATAATCGAATAAATTTTTTATATAATTAATATTTTGCTAAAAAAGTTTAGTTTTGATTTTGGGTTTGGACTTTCTCTACCGAGTATCAACCACCTTTCAAATATATGTTATATGTGTGATCTCATATATTACGTCTCGAATCTTGATCTTAAAATATTAAATGGTTAAGTATTTTTGTTTAATAATCCGAATTTTAAATATGATAATTCTTGAAGAGGAAAAATCCAACACCATACTTTGTGAAAATTGCTTTTTTCTTACATTGTGACATTGGTATATTTTATGTTTTTTTTAATTGGAAATTTTTTTATGTATTTTGGATAATTTTATATAACTTATCATTTTATATAAGTTTTTTAAATGTAATTTTTAGGCCCGTTAGTCATTGGCATGCCTGGCCCGTTTATTGGACGTGTATGAGCAAGGTTTCAAGCCCATAAAAATGGATTTGAGTTTTGCTATATTAGACCCATTGGACAAGAAATATATGTCAGACCCGGCTTGGCCTATGGCCTACCCAAACCCGTAAATGATCACTTCCACTAGTGAAGTGATGATTCATTATAATTATAATTTTAAAATACAATGTTTTTTATTAAACAGGCAACTAAAAAGGGTTTAGAGGGGGGAGGGGTTAGGGAAGGGATGGGATGCATTGCCCACTATACCCGTCCCGCCCACTATACCCGTCCCGTTTCCATCCCTATACATAGCGCTACATAAATGCTTGTAACACTAAAATGAGAAAATAGGTGTGAATGATGCCCCCTACCTCCTAAAATATGTATTCACATTAAAAATGGTTTACAATTTTAGACAATTTATGATTTTTTTACACTTTTTAATAGATCAAATGATAATTTTATCCTTGATTAATTTATTTATCTTATCAACTCTTAAATATTTATTAACTGAAAGTAAATACGAAAATTTAGGGATCGTAAATGCTTACCGGGTAAACACTTACCCGCAAGAGTCACCACCTCACCAAAGAGCCTTTGACCTAGCGATATGTGAGTCATTGACCTCTTAGAAGGTCAAGGGTTCAAATTTCACAAAATGTGAAAAGGGTGTGTGAGTTTATTTGTTATATTACTCGTATATAAATATTATTACTTCAATAGAGGGAAAAAAAAAGAGTCACCACCTCATTTACCTTATTAGGTAACATTCCCGACCATCAAAATGAAATGTTGAAAAGTGTCAGTTACTGGTTAGCATTTATCAGGTAAGAGTCATCTCACTCACTTACCAAGTAACATTATTATTTTTTCTATACCTCTTACCGGTTAAGATTCTCAGTTTTTGACATACTCATCCTGTAAGATAAATGACACCTAGTAGCATTTACTCAGTAAGCGTTTGGTAAACCCCTTAGGCCTTACTTATCTATTTTTGAAATTGAACACTTGTTTCAGACAAACATAAATAGAAATGTAGACACTTATTTTTGGATGAAGAGAGTATTAAACTATATATTGTTAAGTTCTAGAGCAAACTACAAGTTTTGTCCCTATGGTATGTAAAAACTGCGATTTTCATCCTTGCGTTTTAGAAACTACGGTAATGCCATGTGGGTTGTAATTCATTGTTGTTTTCGTCCACAAGGCTAACTCCGAATAACTATGGATTGTAAACCACAATAACATAAAAAAGCAATGAATTGTAAACCACATTAACAAGAAAAAGATRCAATAAATTGTAAAGTGTAAACCACATATGGACGCAAACTGAAATTTCAAAAACGCAAGAACAAAAATAAAAAAATTCAACAAGCTATGGTGACGAAAATCATAGGTTACTCTAAGGGGCCGTTTACCCAAAAGCTTAACCAGTAAGCGTTAAGAGTCAACACTCTCACCTACTTTACCAGATAAGATTATAGTCCATTAAAACCGTACCATATGCAACAAGAAGATTCTCAATCCTTGCCATGTTCGTTCATTAAGGTAAATGAACCAACAAACGTTTAGTAAAACGGTCCCTAAATTTTAAGCAGTGATTGTAAGTGGTTATAAAACACTAGGATCATGTTTACTTATATGAAATACAATTACAAAATTAGCAAAATGATCATTTTGAGTTTCAACTCATCTTTAATGTTTCAAAATGGTTTTAGAATGTAATTTATGACATTATTATGAAGTATTTACAAAATATGATAGGCAAATTCAAGGTCTTTTACCATCAGTTGAATGTTAGGGCCAAGTGACAGTAAAGTTGTAAGAAACAAGCARCATAAGTCTAACCAAGCTTACAACAACCAACTTGGGTTTCAAATCACCCGGTCTCGGGTGCAGCAGAGAGGTAAGACTTACCCAGAGAAAAGCATGCGTCCTTCTGTCTCTTGTATTCATTGTATCTCAGGAAGAAATAACCAAGATAATCGAAATCGATTGGTGACATCTTTGCCTGTCGGTTAATCAATCAACCAATCATTACTCATACAAACTTAGGGGCCGTTTACCAAACACTTACCCGGGTAAGCGCTTATCAAGTCATATTAGAATTACCTCACCAGATGAATATGGTAAGGACTAAGAATCTTACCCGGTAAGAGCGAGACAAGGACCATGAGTCTTACTCAGTAAGTACGGGCGACGACTCTTACCACGGTAAGTGCTTACCAGGTGAATTGTTGCATACAATATCGTTTTGATGAACTAAAATCTTACTCAGTAACGAATTAATAGTGTTAAATTTTAACGGTAAACACTTACCGGATAAGTGTGATAAACGGCCCCTTAAATTGACAACATCAGTATCACTGTTACTATTACCTGGATGAGAGCCCATAGAGCCCAGTACAAGTGTGAAGCCAACATGTAACAGCTACTTTCAACATACAGCTCTTTCAAATTCTTCTCGCTTACCTGTCACATCATCCATCAAACTAACACTCGAATCAAAGGTTCAGTCACCCTCACTAGTTGGTCCAACCAGGAGCAGTGGTCCGCTCCTAACAGGGTTTCCCCTGGACATTGCCTAACTCTAACTGGTCCCAGTCTCCTTGCCTGGTCCTAAATGTTATAGTTTGTGCTACACACTGAGACAATGCTAGATACTCAGGCTCTAGTTCATTATCATAAAGATAAGTTCCTCCCTTGAAAATTTTTGCACCAACTTCGTTGCATGGCACATTTTGAGTTTTTATCAGATTGTTTCTTTGGACAGAACTAGGAAACCTTTATCGGCACGCGATGAATACAAAAACGATCTTCTAATTAGATACCTTATCTGGTCTTTCGGGTTGCAAGTAATGCCTGAAGAAATAATATTGTTCATCCTTATTTGGGTACCTGTGTCATCATTATCAGAAATAAGTTGTAATCCCATTGAGTCACAGCGTAGGTAGTTATCTGCTCTTTCTTAGAAAGCCATATAAATTCATATCAATTTTGAAGCAGGTAGCACAAGTCAAATCTGGACCTTTTCTCCTTCAAAACAAAAGGGTAAGTAAAAGACGACTAAGAACACGGTAAGCTTACAAAGTGTAGTCGCAATCATAGCCGGCATATTCATTGAAGTGGTTCCCTATGTCAAACCCTCTGTAACTGTATGATCCATATTCAAAATCTATGATGTAGAGTTTCTCTGCTCCAATAATACATATAAAAAGAGTCATTAAAAAAATAACTATGGACAAAATAAATAAGAACAAGTTAGATACACCTTCCACTATTTGGGACTTGTTCCATTATTACATGAATGTAGTTCTCTTACATGTTCTCTTACATATCCAGCGAATAGAACAACAGTCCGTGGAGTAAAATATCTAGTCATTGCAAATTATTGTAACAACTTATATCGTAAAACTTTGTGGCTGATTCTGATGTAAATCACACCGTTTGAATTCAAAGATGTGCTCCTCTAATAATAAGAATAAGGATTCTTGATTGCTTATCAGGTGAGGTAGTCACCATTCAATTCTTGATGTAAATCACACATTCCATCTCTTATACTAGTTCATCTATGGACAATAAAAATTATTGTACATCAAGTGGGCTAAGATGATTTATTTCATAAACATCCATGGTCCAATTTAAATCACAGCAGTTCAAGTTTGAAAGTAAAAAAGAGTTGGGTACAAAGATACCTTCATCATCATTCAGCATCAGATTTCCAGAWAGCAAGTCATTATGAGCAAACACCACAGGAGCATCAAGACTACCTGTCAATTCCTGTCCCGTAATCACCAGAGGTTTCTCCACAATAAACTATGGTTCTTTCGATTTTGCAAGATTTCAACATAGAAATTACATGAGATGATCTCAAGCTAAAGATAGTGGGAATATCCTGACTTCTAAAGTCAAAAATTCAAATTGGAACCACACTATTTATGAWAGAAACATGTTGGGAGTTGGGAGAAGGTGGCACAAGAATGACCAAAGGCTTACTTGCCTTAAACATTCTCAGCATGTCAGATATTGTAGCTTCATGTAACTACAATSTTATAGGCCAATTGAACCTGGAAGCCCAGATGTCACATTACATGATACAGATGTCATTCATGCATGCATCAAACTGTGRAAGGAGCACATACTTGAGACCTTACCATAGGTTCCTCATGAGAAATGACAAATAAATAAGTGAAATTGTAAAAGACAGTAGAAGAAACTACCTTGAGCTTAATAAGTTCTGTATGGACTTCCTTAAATGAAATTGTATTGTATTTCTTTTGCTTCTCATGATCATGAAAAGTAAGATTGGATGCTGCAATCAGCAAAGCTTAATCTTTCAGCAGTTAATTGAGAAAAAAAAACCCAGAAAGGAGACAACCCAAATTTATCTCARAAGTCATAGTTGCTGTCCTAGTAGCTTTAGTGGGAAGAAGAGTGATACATAAAAATCACCTCTTTCAAAAAATTTGAAGATGTCATTCCACAGCTGAGGTTCTTTGGATCCTGGAACCTCGACCTGATGGAACCTACTAAGTTGCTTTGCAATTTCCGCTGCTAATTTTGGCTTCCTCAAGTCTGTAGAGCATTTAGAATTAACATTAATTATCGAGTCTCCAGCTCGGGGTGCAAACGGAGTTATTACATATCCATATTTGATTGGCAGTTTGAGTATCCAAACTTGTATTCACATTGAGTGGATACTGAAAATGCTATTTGTGTCCATAAAAGGTAGATGTTAAAAATAACTAAATCTATCCATGTCACTAACTATTAACATCTCTGGATTTATTAATATATTCGAAAATCAAAATCTGTTTCTCCATAAATATGTGAATATTACAAATATATACAATAAAAATAATTGTTGAACAAATATTTAATTAAAAAATAAACCAGAAATTTTACTAAAATCCACAACACACCAAAAATAAATAATGAAATTAAATATCCAATGAATGATTAATTAAAATTGATACTAAATGGACAATATTTTGTATGGATGTTATCATGTACTAATAATAATATTCGCTTTAGATTAATATGGATAGTATTTTGTATAGACATATACCCATGCAATGGTATTGTATTTAACGTACATTTATGAACCAATAATGATATCCAGGCCTTCAATATGGTAATGGGAAATGAACAGTCATGTGGTTTGAATTACCATGCATCAAATTAGCAACGTGTGCATTCAAAATATCAGTTCCAAATCAATTTGACTCCTCAAATTCAAAATTGGCTACGTTGTAAAACTTTTTGTATCTTAAAATGTAAGGCCACACCTAGTCATTTGGCAATTTCGAAATTTTATTTTCATGTAACCAGAAATTAGCATGCGGTGAATATTTTATAGCTATAAATATAATTTCTTAGGAAGCAAATATAAAAAGAACAGAAGATATTCACTTTTTAATTAATAAAGGTAGCATCAAAAAAATGGAATTTGTAATCAGGTAACAGTGTGTCTTTTTGTTGCTTACCTAATGGTTCTAATGTACGAGCATGTATAAATGATTGTACCATCCCATTTCCAAATACTCCTAGCAACTTGGCACCGAATCCTGCAGCTGAGAGGTAATGAATGGCCTATACACAAGGGATAGCAAATTACAAAGTGGATACTACAAGGATACGGGAACAATGATGAAAGCAACCTCATAGCTATATGTTACAAAGTTGCACAGAGGAAGTAGGTTAATGGTTATTGTTATCATGTATCTCAAGTACATGAGTTTACACCTATATAAAGAGTTTCAAGTCAGTTGCATGGAAATGATACAATAACATGTTGTTCACAGTGATTATAGTCTCAACATCCCCCGCAGCGCCTTGGGGGGAAGCTGAATGGCACGATCGACATCCAGCTTGGACCTAAGAAACAAGAATAGAGGTGTAGGAATATGGCGAACCTGTAATGAGTGTCATAGAACCATATCTCAAACAAAATGTAGACCCATTCCTTTACGTTTTGTTCACTGGTAAAACACTTAGTTATCAGCCAGTAATATTGCAACGATATTATCAGAACAAACAGTTGGAGGATGACTGGTAGATATGGAAGTTCCTTCACCAAATATGTGAGCCAGTAAAGTTCAGCAGCTGTCATATCAAGTGCTCAATGCTCTGCCTCTGTACTGGAACGGGCAACTCATGTTGTTTCTTAGAACTCCAACTAATAAGACTTCCCCCAAGAAAAATATAGAACCCACTCATAGGATGATGATGATCAAGGACAACCAGCTTGATCGACATCAGAATAAGCATGTACGGTGAAGTCATTGGACTTGTGAATAACAAGATCATCAGTACTAGTGCCTTTAAAATACCACAAGATTCATTTGATAACAGCCTAGTTTACATTAGTCGATTATGAAGAAACTAGGACGCTTTATTTACCATATAGGAAACTTTTGAGCAAAGTGAGAACCACATAAAGTAGAGCACCGACTCTGCTGCGATATAAAGAAGGATAGGGTAAGGAAGTTCCCAAATAACGAGACATTTGCTTGCCAAGGCATACATGAGTAGAAATGCAAACAAATGTGTTAGACCAGTGCAATAGTCTAAATCGACAGCATATTGTGGTTGACTACTTGACTTAAACAGTAAACCCTAATCTGTAAAATTTGTTTGGACCCCAAGAAAAATAACACAATTTGTCCAAGTCTTTGAGAGCATATTGAGCATATAGCTTATGAATCAGCTCAACAAAAAGTGCAAATGAATTCCCCATCATAATAATATCATCAACATTGATTAGTATTTAACATCAAAAAGTGGCTGTAATATGCACAAATAAAGAAGTACTTGGAATGCTCCGAGTAAAGCCAATAGTACAAAGTGCAGAGGGTGATTTCATGGATCATGCTCTCGAGCTTGTTTGAGTCCATAAAGGCCTTTCTGAGAGTAGGCCACTCAAAAGAATAAGGGGGCTGTGTCATATACACATGGTTATTGAGATCACCATCACCTTGCCTAATTAGTAATAACCCAACCTAGAGAGTAGGCCACTCAAAAGAATCGTTGTGGGTTAACCACCATATTAAATGTTTCAGAATAGTCAACCCTAACTTTTTGATGAAACCCTTTGGCAAGAAGTCTAGCTTTATGGCTGCTTATAGTACCATTATAAGTTTTGCTTCAAGTTTGTAAACACACATTTGCACCCAACAACATTGGCATGTGATGGTGTAGGAACTAGTATCCAAGTCTAATTGGAGATCGACGTCGAAAATTCACACAACATAGCATCAAGCCAGGTATGATTCCTATTTGATGCAAAAACCCTTATGGCCAGGCCAACCTTCCATAGGGAGGGCTTTGCCGGTTCTAGGACTGTCTAGCGGTGGTCCTAGACCACGTCGATTAGTGGTGCCTTCATGTTGCTGATGCCCGTTTAAGGATGAGATGGGAAAACATTTTCAAAGAAAGTAACATATCGACTTGCACAGGTTTTGGAGCTTGTAGGATCATGAAAAAGATAGCCTTTGTGATTAGTAGTTTAACCAAGAAAGAGGCAAGGAATGGATTTAGGAGATAGTTTATCAGTACGAGTAGCTCCTAGAAATGGAAAATAGAGACAAGCAAATGTGCGGAGAAATGTGCAATAAAGAGAAGAGATACAAAGATTCAAAAAAGAATTTATTGAACAAAACTACAGACGACAAACCATTGATGAAAAATGCGGTTGTAGAAGGCGAAAGTTAAAAGTGAATACAGATTCCCATTGTTAGGCGGAATGTGGTGTAATGTTTCCCCCATTACATCTCTCTTATGAAAACAAACACGAGAGAATTGAATTAAGCAGAGTTATCTCGAGTTAGTTGAGAAACAGATAATATGTTTTTTAGTTAGTCCATAGACAATCAGAACGCTTTTTAAGACATGTCTGTAATTGGATAAAGCTAATAAAGATGAGCGAAGGACTGTATTGATAGTTGTGTACCATTTTTGACCGTGATAACATCAATTCTAGTGTATGATCCAATATTTTTGACAAGGTTTGGATTTTCAGGGCTTACGTGTGTCGCAACTCTAGAATCTGGCAACTGAACCTTGTTAGAAATCTAGGTTTCATGATATATATCAATGAATTGAACTTGCATGGTATTTTGGATCGTGAGATTGACAACTCTCATTGACTTGCATAGTATTTTCCTAAAAACAAGGTTTGGATTTTCAGGGCTTACATTCGTGTTTTTAGGGGAAAAATAAGAGCAAAACACAAAGGTTTTTGTTATGTTTCTATGTTAGAATCAAGATTGACAACTCTCATTTTCTATTTTTCGTCACCCCTTCTATTGGTATCTGTTGACTGGCAGTTACCTAAGCAGTTAACTGCTGTTAACGGGTGTTGATTGATTGAATTGAATTACAGGGAAACAAACACTCCCCTGGCTTTCGAGAGGCCCAGGTCTCTCCCAGAGCCTAAGCTCAATTGACAGTTACTCAAGAAAAAGCATGCCTAACAGAAAGCGCTCCCCTCAACTAATAAAGGACCCCGCTCTTTATTCTAAAAGGGAAAAAACCCCAAAATGCCTTTAAGCAATAATACCCAACAACTACTAACAAGATAAAGGACTCCCTCTAATTAACCCTTCTCTTATACGTTAAACGTATAGGAGGTTTACCAATACCCCCCCCCCCCCAAAAAAAAAAATCACCTTGTCCTCAAGGTGATCACTAGGAAACTGTTGCAGCGGAGGGTCCAGCTGTTCCGACAAAGACTCAAAATCAGACAGCCCTTTCCATTTAACCAACACCTCCAACTGGCCAAGATCACCGTGGGCCAGAGGTCGGACATCCAACAGATCCCCCGGTATTGCTTGTAGCACTAAGTCCTTCGACAACTGAGTAGGAACATCCTGGGTTGACGTACAATTGCTCAGAGCTTGCCTTAATTGTGATACATGAAACACAAGGTGTATTTTGGCCCCTATGGCAGCTCCAGCCTATAAGCTACCTTGCCAAATTTTTTCCAACATCTTGTAGGGCCCATAAAATCGAGCTAGTAATTTGAGGTTATTTCCTATGACCAACGATTTCTGCTGATAGGGACATAACTTCAGAAAAACCCAATCTCCCGGTGCAAAATCCACCTCCTTTCTTTTCAGATCAGCTTCTTGTTTCATCAGACATTGAGCCTTCAATAAGTGCATTCGAACTTCATCCCAGATTTCGTCTTTATTGTGCAGCTCTTGCTCCACCGATTGTAAATTGGACGAGGTAGGTCTATATCGTAATAATGGAGGAGGATCTCGACCATATAGCACCCGAAACGGAGCACATTTGATCGAAGTGTGATAAGAAGTGTTATAAGCTAATTCTGCCCATGCCAGCCATTTACTCCATTGCCTTGGTTTGTCCGACACCCAACATCTCAGATACTGCTCTAAACATTTGTTGACCACCTCAGTTTGGCCATCTTTTTGGGGATGGTAGGCTGTACTATACTTCAATTTAGAGCCCTGCAATTTGAAAAATTCTTTCCAAAACGTGCTGAGAAAAATCTTATTTGGATCCGAAACTATCGACTGAGAAACTCCATGCAATCTGATAATCTCTTTTACAAGAACTTCAGCGATGGACCGAGCATCAAAAGGATGTTTTAGTCCCACAAAGTGAGCATATTTACTAAAACGATCCACTACAACCAGAATATAACTCATACCATTCGATCGCGGCAAGCCTTCTATAAAATCCATTGAAATTTCCTCCCAAACCGTAGAAGGTAAGGCCAACGGTTGTAATAATCCCGCTGGGGTTCCACTTAAACTCTTGTTTCGTTGGCATACTTCACATTTTTTTACCAAGTCACTAATGTCCTTCCTCATTCCCACCCAAAAGACTTCGGAAGCTATTCGTTGATACGTACGATCCTCTCCAGTGTGACCTCCGATCAGGGAAGCATGAAATTCTTCGAATAATAAGGGAATAAATTGCGATTTCTGAGGTAAGACCAATCTACCCTTGTATAACAGGAGCTCTTGTTGTACTACAAAACCCTTGTAAACATTGGGATCAGTAAGCAAATCATTTTTGATTTTTTTCAAAAGATTATCCTCCTCAATTTCCTGTTTCACACTGTCCCATTGTCTCCACTGTAGTCCCCCAATGCTGAAACATTCAATCGAATCCTTCTTTAGATAAAGCATCAACAGCCCTGTTTCCACTACCAGGTTTGTAGACAATCGAGAAATCGTAACCTAACAACTTACTCATCCATCTTTGATACCCAGGTTCCACCACCCTTTGATCCAATAGAAATTGAAGGCTACGATTGGTCACTACGCACAACAAAATGCCTTCCTAAAAGATACAGTCTCCACTTCCGAACTGCAAACATGATAGCCATCAACTCTTTTTCGTACACCGACTTCTGCCTGGCTTTTATCCCCAATGCTTGACTAAAATAGGCTATTGGTTGCTCGTTTTGCATCAGGACAACCCCCAACCCATACCCTGATGCACTGTCTCAATAACAAAATCGACTAAAGAATCGGGTAATTGTAAGACAGGGGCAGTTGAAAGTAATTTTTTCAGTCCTTCAAAAGCCTTTTGAGCTCCAACAGTCCATTGAAACTGATTCTTCTTAAGCAATTCTGTAAGTGGAGCAGCCACCATACTATAACCTTGTATGAATTTCCAGTAGTACCCCGACAACCCCAAAAATCCTCGTAATTCCGTAACCGTCGCCGGAATCTTCCAGTCCATAATGGCCCTAATTTTGGACTCATCGACCCCAACTCCCTCCCTTGAGATTATGTGGCCCAAGTAGCCTAGTTTGCCTCGGCCGAACTCCATAATGGCCCTAGAAGTCTTAAACTTTGGATCAAATAAAAGTAATTTGGGTCTCAAACAAAATATCCCACTCAGTTTGATTCACAAAAGGCAAACTGATGAAAAGGTGCCAAATTATGTCCGTCCGTTCGAATAAGGTCTTCTAGGGAAAAAATTGCGCTATTAGCGACCGCTGTTTTAGAGAAATTGTGGTCAAATAGCGGTGTTTAGCGCAAAATTTGCGGTACCGCTATTTGCAGACCACTATTTCCTGAATGACCGCTAACTGCTATTGCATCGCTATTGCGCGCAATTAACTGCCTAGGCAGTTATATTGGCGGTTGTTTCAGGTCAGAAAACAAGTCAAAGTGAGCTTGGTTGGATGTTCCAATAAAGCTCGAGTTAGCCATCGTACCGAGGCTTGGACTAACATGTGCAACAACAGACAGACTAGCCCCAGAGTCGGTCCATTGGGCAGCCCAGTATAATTCAGCTCAGCACTGGCTAGACTTAGGGGTTGTCTACATCTTACCACCTCTTACCAGGGTAGAAGGTGGGAGTGTAGTGTTTACCAAGCCAAAAAAAGGGCTCTGATTACTGACTGCAATCAGTGAAAAGAAATGAATCTGACCACTCTGAGTTGAAGCTTTCGTTCTTAAGCCCTCCCCTCATTCCCATGGTCCCCTTCTTCATTCCTAGTTTTAAAACGTCATGAAGAAAAGGTCATGAAGATCAGTGAGCATGCATAACTATTAGGCATTTTACCCGGTGAACTTTCAGCTCTAAATCTGTGGGAGGATATAAAAGAATCAATACTGCAGCATTTGCCAAACAAAGTCTACTCATATCTTACGTATGTAAGAAAATGTTACTTTAGAGAGCCTAGACTGCGATAATATAATAAATTATCCTCGACGCAAAAGATTGTGCAATCAACAATGTGTTTCGTTTCTTCTCTAATGATCAAGTGTATGATGATAGTGAACAATTCAGAAAGTATGCATTTCTTCAGCTTGATTTAGCATCAAATGGCACCTGTACAGACATGTACACTTTGCACAGTGCAGCATGTAACCAGATACAAAAAGTGATAGCTACCAAATAATGCCAGAAGAAGGATGAGAAACAATAAAGTGTTTGGATTTGTTAAGGCAAAAATATGTTATGGAAACAAAATCACATTTAGATCGAGAAACTACCGAGATTTGATTCTCTCAAATCCTGTATAATACATGTACTCTTGAATGTAAATAATTGATAACAATTTGCTCTAATTTCATGATGTCTATAGCAAGAAAGATGGGCTGTGTCAATATGAAAGGAGCTTATGACAAGGACTATTGGTTGTTTGCATAAAGATGTTCTAACATAAAAGAAACTACAGATATTTGGATACTGACCTGTAGTTCCCTTTCTCGATTGATAACGTATTCCGTATTTGGACCATAAAGTCTAACAGTCATATGCACCATATTCCCATTTTGTTCCTTAACGGATACCTTGAGCACTACAATAGCAAATGCAGTTGGTTACTACACGAATCTCTGAAAATAAAATCCAACTGGAGAATGAAAAGAGATCGTCATAACAAAAACTGACATATCTTGATCTTGAACTATCACAAAATCTTGTCTCTTTCTTTTACGAGAAAGTATGGTTAACTCAAGTCTAATTGTTGCAAAATTGATAACTGGTCTAACTATAAACAAATAAAATACCTACAGAGATTTGTAATGCCCCCAGACACTCTCTCAGCAAAGAAGTGGGATTCATCCAAATTTAACCATTTGTGGAACAGGTCCTTGCAAAGCCTTCTGCAAAAGCCAACCATAAAAACCATGGAAGTTGATCAATGAGATCAAAACTGGAAGTCCCCATGATCTCAAGAAACCAAATCAAAAAGTACAACCAAATATTTCCTTCAATAAAACAAAATAAAGAAAAATAATAACAGTTGCAAGTTGGCTTTAAGATCCAATGGTCTACTTGTCACTGTTAAGTGTTATTTTTATAAAACGTTTTAATAATCCCTTAAAAAACACTAGAAATAGATAAATATAGGTCATAACTGGTAAGAAAAATCCATATCAGTTGCACGTTTGCCCAGCAATAGGTTGGATCTTAAAGAATCAAGATGTAGCTTTTGTACCAAAAGAAGGTAGTGATTACAAGAACACCTGGTTAATGTGATCTAAGTAAATATTAGATGCTCTTGGAACAGTACATGTCATGTCTTTCTATTGATGTTCATATCTATTTTCAAATACAACTAACACTAAATTTCCCCGAATTGGAGCGCCGTTAGAACAATGCAAGCTCATTTCATGAATATTAGATGCATCTACGTTTCTTCTGGTTGATATAATGAATCTTTCTTATAAATCCATCTACGTTTATCCTAGTTTATACAATGAATTCCTCTTATAAATCCAAAGAAAAAAAAAGATTTCATTCATCAGTCCATGATCAAATTTGCTGAAATCATGTCGAATGCATCAACCAAAAAGAAAAGGAGATTTTGGAGCGTACACGAGGCTAGGTTTCATCTCCGGTACAGGAAGTGAGTGGTCGACGGTAAGAGAAGAAAAGGGAATCTGGAGGTTGCAGTTATTACGAGCTTCACCGGCGACATCCATGGCGTTCGCTGCGAATCTTCTTTGCTTATGTAAATGAACAAATTCAAAAGGAAAAAACTACGCAGTTTTGGGGGCCGTTTTATTTACAAGATCTAGGGATCATGGGGGTATTCCATAAGCCAGTAATTTGATATATATACTATCTTACTAAACAAATTTAACAAAAAATTTAAAATTTTAAAATACTAAATAATTAAGATACATTTTATACCATTTTTTCACCCTTCATTTTCTTACATACATTCACCTTCTCATAACCGATTTTTCTAAAATTATAATTTTAAATTTATATTTTATTTCTTATAATTAGTTAATTAATTTACTTTACGTCCTTTACTTTTAAATGTTTTATTTTATATTTATTAAATTAACATACATAATCGTATATAAATTAAAATATATTTAAAAAATACATTTTTATTTTAACAAGTTACATCATTATAATCGCCTTGTTAATACCTTCGAAATGAGTCCAATACTGAATAGTTTTTAACTTAATTATATTATTATATATTATATATATTATGAAAAAATATTTTTAATATTTACGATTTATACTTTTATAGTTATTTATTTATATATATATATATATATATATATATATATATACACACACTATATATTTGGGGGTTAGGCTGTCCAAATTGCATTGTATAATATGTTCTGAATTAATATGTTTTTGTGTTTTTTTAAAATATATATATACATGTATTAATCCAACCTTAATATGAGTTTATGGACAAGAAAGAGAGTAAACAGTTGAAATTTTATTCTAAAACCCATTTTTTTTGGTCTTTTCATGGCTTATGATCTGTCAAAATTTTAGTTTTCTTTATTGGTTTTGAGTGTTTATCTTAAAACTCAAGTTTCTTGGTTCTTTGCTCTTGRTGTAAATCGAACACATTTGTGGAGTCGTTTAAATATGTTGGATATTTAAACTATCATTCAATTTTTTTTCATCGATTATCTGTAATTGGAACCATAACTCTTATTTATTCAAATTATATTAATATGTAAAGAACAAGTGTAACATATATCATCGTTAAATCTTATCTTATAAAACCAGTGGAACTTCAAAATTGTTAAAATTCATAGCTCCCGCCGCATTGCACGGGTACACAACTGGTATTATTTAAAAGGAAAATTATATCAAAATGGAACCAACTTTCACTTGATTCTTATTTTGAGGAACCAACTTTCAAAATCATCATTTTGGGGAACCAACTTTCAACTGATTCCTATTTTGGGAAACCAACTTTCAAAATCGTTATTTTGGGGAATCAACTTGCACCTGATTCCTATTTTGGGGAACCAGCTTGCAAAATAATTATAGAAAAATGGGAAAATTCTACCAAAATGGAATCAACTTTCACCTGATTCCTATTTTGGGGAAACAACTTTTAAAATCGCAATTTATGGGTCTGTATCAAACTTTTTGTTTATTTAAGGGTCTCGTTGATCTGTTGAACAGGTAACAGATAATTTAAGGGTCTTTATCAAACTTTTGGTTGGATTTTTAAACTTTAATATTGACACAGATTGGTTAGATATAAAAATTTTGAATGTGATATTTAATATTTATTTTTTATTGAATCAATTAATTTTTTCTATTAAATTGATTTTTTATTGCATTAGTGAAAAATAATTTTTATCGTGGTAATTTGGATTTTTTTTTGAAAAAATCTTCAATTTGATATCTGAATTAAAAAAAAGATTTGTAATGAAAAATAGATTTTATTGCATTAATTTTTGAAAAAAAACGAATTTTAGTTATTTTTCTATAATTATTTTGCAAGTTGGTTCTCCAAAATAGAAATCAGGTGCAAGTTAGTTCCCCAAAATGACGATTTTGAAAGTTGGTTCTCCAAAATAGGAATCAGGTGAAAGTTGGTTCCTCAAAATAACGATTTTGAAAGTTGGTTCTCCAAAATATGAATCAAGTGAAAATTGGTTCCATTTTGGTGCAATTTTCCCTTATTTAAAAGTAAATATAAGGGATGATTTATGTGATCTTTACCCAAATGATTATCTGGAAAATGCTTATCTATAGCAGTCAACACTCTAATTTATTTTGATATGTAAAATTTTAGTACATCAAAACGTATTGAATGCAACAATTTACTGGGTAAGCGCTTACCTAGATAAGAGTCGTAATCTTCACTTACCGGATAAGACTCTTCATCCTTCTCATTGCTCTTACCCAGTAAGATTGTTGGACCTTGTCATGTTCATCTGGTAAGGAAATTTATTCAGTAAGCACTTACCAAGTAAGCGTTTAGTAAACGGCCCCTTAGTTCCGGTGATAATAGAAGTTATATTGAGAAAGGTAAAAAAAAATCTTCACCATTCAGTCATGCATGTTTAGTGGGTCATAGTGAATGAACAGATCAATTCTCGTGATAAGTGCAATTCATTAGGTGAGGATGGAATTAAAAGTGATCAAGGATCCAAAACTCTTCTTATACTTTTCATGTTAATTCTTATTCTCACATGATCGTTCGTTTATTTATATAAACATAAAAATGGTATATCCAAAAAAATTGAAAAAAGAAGAACTTTCAATAAGCTATCTCAACCAAACGAACTCAGGATATTCGATTGAAAAGTGAGGTCTAGAAAGGGTATAATCTACCGCTAGGGATGTATACGGGTTGGGTTGGGCGGTTTACGGCATTTTTACAGCCCAACCTAATTGTGGCATTTTGTGGTTATAAGGCTTGTCATTGACGCGAAGTGTTCATCGACCTCAAGACTCCATTGGCTAAATTCAACACACCATTGGGGGATGTCGGTATATGTCGCAGATGAATGTCGTTGTTGTGGCTCATATCGTGGAGGTTGTGACATGTGCGTTGAAATGATTGATGTGCTTCAGATGGTGGGATGTCATCGTCGTCACCATCATCATCATCATCTTCGTCATTCATGCCATGATCTAGGTCTGGTTGTCCATTACGATTATTCGCCAAAAAAAGCCTCTTATTTCGATCCACCATTGGGTCGACTCCTCCAAAGGTGTCGTCACCAACGAGGTCAGGGACCGAAACGCATTCTAAAAACATTTAAATCAATATATTGTTTTTTTAACATAAATATTATAATTAAGTCTAGTAAATTTAAATTTATAATAAATGAAACTGAACCTTGTCGATTTTGTTGAACTCACAACACTCTTCCCTCTTGACTTTTCTCATTTATTTCCATCCAATGGTCCTAGGGATTGACGAATCATACGAAAATACCTTTGACCACGGGGAAAGTCTCCAAAATCCAGATCTGATAGGTTACAAAAAAATATTGTGAGAAAATGTCAATTAATCAGTGAATAAAATCTTATAAAACAAATAAACAACAATAACCGTCCTTGGAGGCATATATGAATCATACAAAGTGTATTTGTTTGGAGGTCGATTTTTATGTATGCGACCCTCAAATGCATTTCTCAACTGCTTATATGTCAGACGTCATATATATGAGCCCCATGGGTATTGGTTCCACGCATCCAAATCTTCAACCAAATGTATGATCCAGTGTTGGACCAGTGTGGTTTTCTTTTCCATCTTAGAAATACCGTATGAAGCATGATTAAGAGGCACAGACGCACCGCATCATCGTTTGATATGTCTTGATTAATTTATTTCTAAAATGATAGACTTTAATATCAGCATGTTTGGTCATTTTCCCTAACAAATTTTGTATTGATTGAGGGATTTCCCTAACAAATTTTGTATTGATTGAGGGATTGGTACAATGTGGTGGGTGAAACTCCGTCCCGAATCGAAAAACCGTGATCAAATAGAACTCATGTTTGTTAAACTGTAAATGGAACCCTCCAACACGATAATAGATTTCTTCGAATTAAGAAGGGAAAGAGGAGTCATCACATTGCATCATCCAATTAATTAAGGATAGATCTCCATGTTGGTTAGATATATATCTAACCATGGACCGAAACACGTCTGTCTAAACATATGCAACCTCCTTGGATTATTCTTTAATTTTTTAATAACCTGTATTTGTGCCCCCGTCATCACTAAACTTTGGTAGAACACCTATTATTTATCATAAATTAAAATGTTGTACAAAAATAATATAAACAAAATTAAAAAAAATATATTATTAAGTTAAATACTAGACAAAAATAGATTATTAAGTTAAATTTAAAAAAATTACGATTTCTTAAAGAGGGTTCCATGATATATAACGTTGGACAGTGGTAGGTGGCAACAGATGGTGATGGATGATGGAGGTGTATGGTGATGGATGTCAGTGGACGATAGTTGATGTCAGCCGTTGGTGGTGGACGTGAGGACGTCCATCTACGATACAGAGACAAGGCAATTGAGGATAGTGACTTTCTCCTGTAATGAATAGAAGATGTCGGTGGACGATGGTGGATGTCGGCATATGGTGGCTGTTCACAGTGGTCGGTGGTGGTAGATCGTGGTGTTGGTGGTGAAAAAAATGGTCCCCTCCTGTGGACATTTTATACAAAATCGTCCTTATAAGACGAAATACCATGTACAATCGCCCCCTATGTCTACTTACGTCATCTTTGAGTTGTCAAATAAACCAAAAATTGTCATAAAATGTCTCCACTACAGGACAAATTAAAGGCCAAAATCGCCCCTGGAGGGCGATTTGCATGAAGATATTCAAAAATCATATTCTTGTCCCCCAAATGGTATGCATGTATGACCCATCTGTAACATAAATCCCAAAATCGCCCCAATAAAGTAAAATTGCCCTCTAGGAGCGATTTTTGTGATTATTTTGTGAAGAAATGTCTAAAAAATGGTTATTTTGTTAGTGTACCATGTACAAAGTGGTTATTTAGGTAATTTCCCTTGAAAACAAATCTCAACTCAATCTAATCTATTCAAAAGTATAACTCACCCTTGTGGGTTGAGGTGGATTGGGTTGGATTGACAGGTGAATAGTTATATAAATTTGACGAATGAAATATCTCTTAAGACTTATTGACAAAACTATAAAGCGGCATATGTAAAAGGGTTACCATATGTTTTTGGACGTTTCACTAAGTTTTTAAAACGTTTAAATAAATGCGTTGTATTGGTTGTTTTATA